GTATAGAATCTAAATTATCAATAGGAATCTACCACCGATTTAAGAACCGACAAAGACCTTCTTCCTCTTATTCTTCTTCTTCTTCTTCTTCTTCTTCTTCTTCTTCTTCTTGTCTTCTTCCTCTTCTTCTTCTTCTTCTTCTTCTTCTCCTTCTTCCACTTATTCCTCTTCTTCTTCTTCCTCTTCTTCTTCTTCTTCTTCTTCTTCTTCTTCTTCTTCTTCTTCTTCCTCTTCTTCCTTTTTATATAGTTTGAGAAGTAACACAGAAAAAATACATTGATCAGTACCGCCTTTCAGCCAAAACGCGCTACTGCTACAGAGAAGTACATAAAAAATACATTGATCATCAATGATCTTTTTGTATAGAATCTAAATTGTCAATAGGAATCTACCACCGATTTAAGAACCAGCGAAGACTCCTATTGCACCCCCAGATTCTATACATAGAGTTAAATGAAGACCAAATGCTTGTGATAGTTTGAGAAGTAACATATTTAAGGTGGTCAAATTCTTGCTAAGGGAGCGAGGTGGGACTAAAAATAGCCCCTGCCACAACCTCTTTAGTACCGGTTCGTGCCACGAACCGCTACTAAAAATGCTGGTGCCCGGCCAGCATCTTTAGTACCGGTTCGTGGCACGAACCGGTACTAAAGATTCGCAATGAACCGGTATTAAAGGTCTCCTCCCTCCTAGTCATTTGAACCGGCACTAATGGACGCATTAGTGCCGGCTCAAAATCAAACCGGCACTAATGTGTCTCATATTAGGTCCTTTTTCTACTAGTGGAATATCTTGTTCCTGGCGTCCCCACCGCGCCTCATCAGCCCTCAAACCTAAAATCACACAGCATCATCAACACAATAAAAAAGACTAAAAAAATCAGCAAATCATAGCCCGAAAAAACAATACTCACCAGGATTAGTACTATCCTCAGTAGCCAACCTTCCATCAGGAGCACCAACGGAAGAAGAGAAGCCCAAGGACGTCCAAGAAACGCGCCGAGAACTATATGCAACAACACAAACCATAATAGAGAGCAAACACACCAGAGGTACACATGAGAGAAGAACATAGCAAACATCTATTTATAGGCAAGCAGAGAAGAACACAGAACACACACGTGTGCAAAGGTGGAACCCCAACATGCAACGTGGACAGATGCATGCATGCATGGCCATGCAGCACACAAAATAAAAGCAAAACGTGGACAGATGCATGCATGCATGGTCATGCAGCACACAAAATAAAAGCCGCCCATACAGTCAATATTTTTCTCACATGAGACAAAATCAGCCCATGCTGCCGTGCACTCAACCTATCTTTTCACATGAGACACATGAGACAAAATCAGCCCATCAAATCAAGTTATTTTTCCACATGAGACAAAAAAACCATACAGTCAGCCCATACTAATGCACCTCTAAAAAAAGTCACAAAACAGAAGAGCGATCAACACTTCATAGGAAACCATCATGCACACGTGTCGCTCAACCGATAAGGGTAAAAAATATTCTGAAAAAAACAGAAAAATCGAACCCTTACGGACCTAGTCTTCTTAGTATGGGTGTGTATATGGTCCGCGTCCTGCCCAATATATATACAGGGGCTCTGTAGGGGCTGACCCGGGCAATGGCCCGCCCAGGAATTTGACAACATTTTTTTTACTAGTCACATCTTAGGCCAGCCCACTGAGCGCACACACGCACAGCCGCACAGGCCAACCTCCATCTTCTCCTCGTCTCAGGAGGGCTACTCACGCACGCTGCACGCGCAAGCGGCTTTCCCCAATTCCCCAATCTCACTATCAGACTCATCTAGCCGCACCGCCGAGGCACCGATGCCGACCGCCGTCGACAGGGAGCACGGTCCACCGGAGCACGCCGCTCGCCGTCTCGCGGAGCAACTGCCGCGGCGATGCCCCCCGCCCCTCCCCCGCGGGACCTCGCCTCGCCCTGCCCTGTTACCTCCCGCCCAGACTGATCCTGCCGCCCATCATCCGCCGCCTCCGGGATCCAGTGTGTCGTGCATGCTTCCGGCCATCCATTCCCGCGGTTGTTCTCCTCCAACTCCAAGTCTACAAGACTAGAAGGCTGGCGCCCCCATGACTTAGCCCCCTGCCCTGCCGCACGCACAATTCACAGGTAATTTTTCCCCAAACACTCAATTTGATAAGCAAATAGCCTGAATTTATTTAGTTCCATACAACTAGTGATCAGTCCTGCTAGTGATAAATAATAGCTTGATGATCTGATCCTATGCAAATTTCAACATAGGTAGTCATGGGAAGGAAAATCAGACTCATAGAAGAATTGATTTAGTTTTTAAAAGAAAAAGAGATGACATAACTCAAGTTGAGGAAGAGCATGAATTGCCCTTGATTGCTTGAATTGGAACAACAACAGCCTGAACAACAACATAACCAAGATGGAGGAGTTCGAACAAATGAAGTTGTTACTTTCCGAGGTATCGAGTTCTTGCAGCGAGACCCTGGATTGCGCCCTCAAATTTGGCAATATCCACCAGATCAGAGAGATACCGTGAGAAGAGCATATTTGATGTTAGGTCCTATGCAACCCCGCCTAGAGAACTATAAACCTTCAGGTGAACCAGGGCCTTGAACCTAGCTAAGAACAAGGTATATATGTAAGGGGATGAGCGGAACTTTGCAGAAGACCACACTATTATAGAACATGCAATCACACATTGGCACATCTCTGGCGGTCTGGACGAACCACCAAAGATAGACCCACATGAGATCTCAGGTGGTGCTCCAGGAAATATTCATAGCCGGTTTAATTAGTACAAAAAAGGGTTTCCCCCACTTTGTATTACAAAGCAACCAACTTCGATACAGCCAACGATAGGTGCCGGGGCGGAAGCAGCACAGTCACGCCCAAAAAAAATGAAAGAGAAAACAAAAAAGAAACAAATGCGAACAACGACGGCTCAACGAAAACGATGAAGACCCACAATCGCTGCGCCCACCGGAGAATTCCACCACACTCCGAGCACTCCGGACCGCCGCATACCAAGCAACACCTTCAAGAATGACCGCGACGCCGACGACGCTGCTGCCCGGACAAGTTCTAGGGTTTCTCCGGTATGTAGAGGATTGAGGGGGAAGGGGCAAACCCGACACCCTTCAGGAAGGCACGGCGGCGCCCACAGACGTCACCGCGTCGGTGCCGGAAAAGCGGACACGGATTTCTCTGGACCACCAACCACCCACGACTCGAGACGATCCATCATGCGCCACCAAACACGCCGCCCATCAACATGCGCCACCACGGTCGTGCAGTCCCGATCACCGTCTCACCGTGGCAAACAAAGCGAGACCGGCAGGAACAGAGAAGGCAACCGGGAACGAGGGGTGGCAGCAACAGTAGCCACGCAGGAGGGAACAACCTCCACCGCCCGTTGCGGGAACCGACCGGACGTAGCAATAGGGGCAAACCAGGCAACCGCGACCAAATCGACGAGGGGGAAGGGAAGGTGGAGAAGTGGCCTATGTCCACGACTGGCACTGTGTCGGTTCCAGCTCCCCCGCGAAAACATGTTTCGCCCCCGCGTCGAAGGCCCAGCCGAGCCCGAGACTGGCTCGTGAAGCCCTCATTGCTGCGCTGCTACCCCCTGCACGAGTCGCCCCGCCGTCCGCCGGAGACGCCGCAGAGGAGTTCCGGCCAGGCCTGCCCAGACCCAGATGGGGCCCAAAAGGACCCAGATCTGGGCCGGGAGGGCATCGCCACCAGCCACTGCAACGCCCCGCCGCCAAGAAGCAGCGCCGCCGCCAC